TATTAATAATGTGTAATTAATAATTAATTTTAATTAATATTAGTGATATTTAAATTTTATTAATATTTATTTATAAGTAATAGTAATAAATAATAATCAATATTAATGAGAGTTATAATTGGAAAAAAATGACAATAAGCTATCAAAACTCTACTTCAAGTAACGTATCAATAAGTTAGCTTATGTAAGTCTAAATGTATAACCATAAAATAAGTTCACTTATTTTTGTTATACAATATATTTTAAAAAAATAATAAAATATTTTTTTATTATTATTTAAGAAGTCAAACTCAATTTAATATTTGCTTCATTATTCAAAAAAAAGCGTTTACTTTATTTTGGGCCCATTATCGTCTACTTTTAATTCTCTACGAAATTAGAAAAATAATTTAAAGTTTAAATACTAAATCATTTTGATACAGGAAAAAAATACCTTTTATAGTAAGTACCCGACATGGTGATTATAGAAGCATTATGCGTACTAAGCTGCGTAGACCACACGAGCTCTCCGTCGCTACGTCTAAGCCCCACAACGTAAGCCGGTCCATAAATTCCCACGATCAATAGATCATCAGCAACAGTGGGTGTGGACCGGGACACTGTCTCATTGACCCCGAATACGAGTCCTGTTGACTTAAGCCCCGTTAGTTCACCAATATCGTGTTGCCAAATAACTGACCCGTCTGACTCGTTAAGGGCGTATATTTTCCCATTCCAACTCGGGAAATATACTGTCTTGTTGTATATTGCAGGTGTGGCACTTATATCTTTTCCAGCAACGAACTTCCACTTTAACCGAAGGTTAGCCACTGTTTCAGGGCTGATCTTTGTTTCGCCATCCGCATATCTACTATTCTTTAAATCACCGCCATGGTTCGTCCAACCAGTTGACTACAATTGATAAAACAAAAGTCAGATCATATCGCGATTCAAGAACATTCTGGAAAAAAAAAGTCCCATCATCAATCCCTTTTTCCGGTAAATGGGTCTCAGCCGATCCAATCTTAAAACAGACAAACCAAGATCAATAGCTAGAAAACGTTTGTTTTCCTTTATCATTCTTCATTTCCCGTTTTCGTTTTATGATTCTCGTCATTTGGCAAACGTACGTGTAAACGAGAACTCAGAAAATAAAGACGGAAACCGAAAGGAAGACATACAAGAGGTGAGGTTGGAAGGAGGAGGAGCAACCAAAGGAAGATGATGAAGTAGAGGCAAGGAGGAGCCATGAAAATGGAAAGTTATGTCCCAAACCACATGGATATATCTCTATTTACACTTGATAATTCTTTTTTTTTTAATATTAATTTAAAAGTCATAACTATTTCTTGTCAAACAAGTTTTTCTAATTTTAAAATATTATCCGAATACATTTTTTTATGATCATAAATATATATATATATATATATATATATATATATATATATATAGTTAGAGAAATGTAAGGGGATGAATTTTTGCTTGAAAATATTGTAAAATCAAGGTTTAATCTGATATTATTTTATGTCAAAACTTATTGTAATTTGTTAAGTCAATGGTATTTATGTCGTTAATTTATTAACTTCGTGGATGTTGGATAAGATATTGTTACTACAAATTACATATATACTAGATAGCGGAAATTGTGACTCGAATACCGAATTTAAAGTTTTATTTATATTATGTATGGATAAAGGGAATTTGTTGTGATATATTGTTGGTCAACCCATTAATGTGACTTCTAAGGTATTACACACTTTTTAAAAGAGTGGCTACTTCTAAACCAAGCCTCCTTTTATATAAATATATAGATAGGGAAGGGTTCAAACAAGAACACGTTTATTTTACGAGAACGTGAGAACACCTTTTTAGTATAGACAATCATATGTGATACTATTATACCATCACATATGGTACACATGTGATACTAAATCAGAGACGCGAGCGATTTTCGATGCGATCTTGGTTGGGGGCCAAGTCGCCCTTACACCATTAAGCTCCTTCACAAGTATTATCACATGTGATAAGGTTGTTGTTGATATGATACTATAATCCATCAAGACCATCATATATGATGCTAAATCATAGAGGCAGACAACCTTTGGCGTGGCCTAAGTCATAGAACACATCGTCCGCAGATCACAAGGTCCCTCATGCTTATTATCACATGTAATAAGGGTGTTCTCGCGTTCTTGTAAAATGGAGGTGTTCTCGTTTGAACCTCCACCTACATATATATATATATATATATATATATATATATATATGGGTCTAATCAAATAATAACTGTTTTGTTTGTGGTAATCGTGAGATCCAATATCAATCACAAATCAAAGGAAATTAATAATTTTGATAATTTTAACTTAAAATATTAGTTAAGGGCATTTTAGGGATTTTATAAATATCCTCTCTCATCTCTCATTTTTCCTCTTTTCAACGAATCTTATTCCGATGAACCTTATATGAACATAAAATATACACTGTGATACCCAGATATACATACAAGATGCACAATGTGATCCCCTTTTATAAAGCAATGAAAATAACAAAAATGCACACTATGATACATTTCATAAAACAAAAAAATGCATTGTGATACACGTGAAACATTGTGAACGTTATCACTATGATTCACTTATATTCACAAATGTCTTTAAAATATGATATATATTAGATAATTGATATACTAGATAACTAATTTTAATTAAATATTTCCTTCAAAAAAAAATAATTAAGTATTTCGATTAGTTGTCAAAAATAGATTTAACTATATTATCATTTTAGGTTATTTAAGAAATATTCTTAAATATCTCAAACAAGTGGTTCATATTGGATCTCACGGTTACCATAAATTAATTAGTTCTCCTCTGAATGGGTCCTATATATATATATATATATATATGTGTGTGTGTGTGTGTGTATGTGTCTCTATATATGTGATATATTGTTGGTCAACTAATTAGTGTGACTTCTAAGGTATTATACACTCTTTAAAAGAGTGGCAGCTTCTAGGCAAGCCTCCATATATATACATACACACACACATATATATATATGTGTGTGTGTGTGTCTATATATGTATATATATATATATATATATATATGGTTGGGTTCTGGTGAAAAAGAGAGTTAAAGTAAAAAGCGTAAGAAGGGATCTTCACCCTTAGATGCACATTATGATGAGATGCACCGACACACACCAGATCAATTCCCGTATCCAGCATGCTTAATGGGTGAGTTTGAGATTAAAAATGATCAAGGGTGAAGATCTCTTCTTATGCTTCTCATTTTAACTTTTTTTCTCACATGATTCTTCGCCTATATACAAATCATGTCACTATTACAAACCACACAAACTAATCAATTGATTCAGTCTCACTACCTCTTTATTGCCCCTACTTGGCTACTTCCTGTTACCCGAAACAGATATGAGTGTGTAGGTAATAATTAGAGTCGCAAGACAAGTAACGGGCATTCATTTAAGATTGAGTTTATGGTTTAAGTTAAGAGGTTGACCTAACTAGAGCATTTGTTTTTTAGGTGATAAGGATTTGCAAGCTCTTACCGTCCTCTTGTCTATTAAAAGAAAAAATTGTCCTTCATTCTCCTCTTTATCATGGTTTGATGGTGATATGAAATGGGGTTACTCTTTGCCATGACTTCACTTGATATATGTACAATATACATTTCATATAGTACAAGTTTAGTAGCTTTTAGTTCCTCATAAATTTTGTTAAACTATTCGAGTTGTTCAAAGCATTCAGACAACTTGACGGTTTCTTTCTCTACTTTGTTCTTAGTTTTATTTTAGATTCTAGCACATTGCACGTTTTTACATGCATACGAATATAGGTGGAAGGAGATAGACGTACTTGATTATGTATGGGAAAATGTGATTCAATGGCCTTGGATGAAGATTCTGCCGCATTGATCTTGTCATAATTTCTCAATTCAGTGAGATGAGCCATGAAGCACAATTTTGTTTTTTCTCCTTGTTTATTGTTAGATGAAGATGATGAATCAATACAGTCATGTTCTTCAGCTATTATACCCTTATCCTTTCTATGAAAATTCCTTGATTTGAATTTTTCACTTTGTATATCGTCCTTTGGTCCTTCATAGGAAGATTGAGAGGTTTGAGTCATGCAACAACCTATATGAAAGAAAGTACTATCCCATTAAGGACAGGTTTTCTTGTTTATGTGTCAAGGGCTGGTAAGGTTTTGCGCATTGTATCGAATTAAACCACATGCTCCACCGCTTATGCAGCCCCTCGTCAATTCCTTTGAGTTTCACTCTTCCAACTGTACTCCCGAGGCAGAGTGCTCGTGTTTGATTCCGGTGTGATCACTCCTTTTCATGAGAAAAAAAAATAAGGTATATGTTTATTGTGTGAATACTTCTTGTGAGAACTTTGAAGATATCTTTTTATTGTATGAATATTACTGACAATCAAGAAAAATAATGTAACCTTTAAATGACATGTAAAGGTGTAAGTTACAATTTTCACGTAATATAACATAAATTCATACAATATAAAAGTATCTTCATGTGTTTATATATATATATATATATATATATATATATATATATAGACTTGGGATCATGTGAGACCAATGGTTTTTCGTGAGACCCGTAAGACCAATTCTCAACCCTTTGATTAGATTTACAATCGTCAGATCTGGACATTTATAAACGCCACGAGACTTCTCAATAATTACAAAATTGCCACCTTGCAAATTTAGACCATTAGTTTATAACTTTGATCAATAAGAACATAAATTGGTCTTACGGGTCTCACAAAAAACCCTTGGTCTCACATGAACCCAACCCTATATATATATATATATATATATATATATATATATAATTCGTAAGGTTTGAAGCTTGACCTTGTCGTCATATCACGCCTCACGCCATTTAGAACCTTGATATTATATATATATATATAGAGTGATCATATGAAAACCTCCCTCATTTGTGTAAACTGTGCAAACCACCTTCATCTGTCGATTTCATTGTTTAATCTTATGAAATTTTTTCATGAAATTGTTTTATATAATACTTTTTTTGATGAAGTTGTTTCATATATGGTTGTGAAATTGTTTCATATAATAATTAATGAAACTGTTTCATGTATTTCTCTAACATTAAT